CCAGGAGGCAGCCTTAGGTGGGTTCGGGGGGTACTGGCTCCAGGTCCAGGGTGAGAAACAGTTCCTGGCTGTCGGGAAAACCGGTTTCTCCGCTTGCTTGCTGTGAGCTATCTACAACCTCATCTTCTTCGTCCCCAAAACCTGCTTCCGTGTTGCCTCCATCTCCATTGAAGGAGTCAAACAACACGGCTGGGGTAGTGGTGGCTGAACCCCCTAAAATGGCATGCAGCTCATCATAGAAGCGGCATGTTTGGGGCTCTGACCCGGAGCGGCCGTTCGCCCCTCTGGTTTTCTGGTAGGCTTGCCTCAGCTGCTTAAGTTTCACGCGGCACTGCTTCGGGTCCCTGTTATGGCCTCTGTCCTTCATGCCCTGGGAGATTTTGACAAAGGTTTTGGCATTTCAAAAACTGGAACGGAGTTCTGATAGCACGGATTCCTCTCCCCATACAGCGATCAGATCCCGTACCTCCCATTCAGTCAATGCTGGAGCTCTTTTGCGATTCTGGGACTCCATCATGGTCACCTCTGCTGACGAGCTCTGCATGGTCACCTGCAGCTTGCCACGCTGGCCAAACAGGAAATGAGATTCAAAAGTTCGCGGTTCTTTTCCTGTCTACCTGGCCAGTGCATCTGAGTTGAGAGTGCTGTCCAGAGCGGTCTCAATATCCCGGAGGCCAATACCATCGAAGTATGTCCACAGTACCCCAAATTCGACCCGGCAAGGCCGATTTAAGCACTAATCCACTTGTCAGGGGTGGAGTAAGGAAATCGATTTTAAGAGCCCTTTAAGTCGAAATAAAGGGCTTCATCATGTGGATGGGTGCAGGTTTACATGGATTTAACGCTGTTAAATTCGACCTAAAGTCCTAGTGTAGACCAGGGCTTACTAAGGTTCCCCTCCAGGTCATGTCAGGTTTATATCGCCTTTTCCTTATGCGACAACCTGCCATACCCCAGAGGCGAAAGCCCCTAGATATGCAGCCAACTCATGTAACTCGTGTGTGAGACCATTAGGTTGACATAGACACTTGCCATAGCTAGGTTAAGCACCAATGCAAAGGAATCGTATCTGCTCAGTTTGGTAATTCTCCAGGGTGTGTCAGCTGGTGGGAGAGGGTGGTTTAGCAGTGCTGTTTCTGAAGCTATGTGGCTCTTGGGATAAGCCCTCTGCTCTCAAGTAATTCCCTCCCCCCCCACCCCCCTGAAACAAGGTTCCTGTTGGTTTGTTTTTTCCCATGTCAATTCCTGCAACCCAGCTTGGCTTCTTGGAATGAAGAGAACCTTCATGGAAGGACTTTAAGGAAGACTAGTGACCCCTCCACCCCCAGCCTTTCCTGGCATGTTCGGCGCAGGGCTCTTAATTTGGAGTGCAGTGCTTGTGAGCACCGAAGGATTCCCCAAGCACTTACCGCCCCATTGGCACACCACCAGGTCTGCACTGCCTCCTGGTGTGCTGGACAGCAAGGCAGTCTTCACACTGGGTGCTGGCCTGTATCCCCTTCAGTAATGGCCTTTCCTGCAAGCCAGCCTCTCTCTCTCTCTCTCTCTCCCCTTCCTCCCCCCTTTTGCTGACAGATGGGTTGGAACTCCCTTGGGGACTACAGCAAAACACTGCCTGTCTGCTCCCCCTGCAGAGTCTGAATCCAGCCGCAGAGCCTGCAGGCATGTTCCAGTACAGGGCAGAGACTACCTCACAGGGGGTCCAGCATCAAACCGTGTGCTCTTCTGGATAGAGCAAGCCCTGGTTATATCGTGGTTCCTTGATGCTTCCTGATCTCAGCTCCTGCTGCTGCCTTGGACTTACTGAGTCCCATACAGATTCTGGCATCAGCGAGGCCCCAACAGACAATGCCTCTCCTTTTCCCCAGGAGTTACCTTAGGATCCCCCTAAAGAAGGCCTTTTGCACAAGGTCTGAGAAGGTGCTCACTGAGACTCGTCTCATCACTGTGCCACGCTCCCTCCCCTGTTGAAGTCATTGGTTGCATCCTGATATCTCTCACTGTGTGTAGCTGTAGCTGCCGGTTGCCTCCTGATTAGGTCACCCGGGGAGCCAGAATCTCGTTAAGCGGTGCCACTGGCCCTTACTAATGCTCCTTTCAAACAGCCATCCTTGGTGTCTGTTTCCTGACTCGCCAGATCCTTTCACCTGTTTTGCAGCTTGGTCAGAGGGTTAAGCGAGCTGGGTTCCTTTTTATTGCATTTTTGTAGACCTGTAGTTACAACTCTCTCTGGCTGGGCAGGTTTGCATCACAGCCCTAGACTGTGCTTGGCTTAGAACACTGAGCTCCTCCTAAAGCAGTCAACGGGAAAAGGAACTATCCGTCATGAGCCTTTATGCCACTTAGAAATGCACTTTCATTCTCAGGAAGCAGTCTGGTTAATAATTTCTATCTGAACCATTCTCATCTGTGGAGGAAGGTGTAATGCCTTGCTCATGGCGTTGGGCAGTCTCATGAAAGCGGCTACATTCTCTCGCTTCGCCACAGCGAACAAATGATCCCATTCCCCAGGTAGATGAATCAGCACACCAGGAAATGCTGTAGAGATTGGGGTTCATTCTGCCAAAAATGCAAGGTATTGGATGGAGAAACATCAGGCCTCTTAGCAGTCTTATAGGTTTCTTCCCAACTTGTGGTCAATTCCTTCTTTCCCAGAGCGTTACGAAATTGAGTTGGTCTTTTCTCTTTGGATACAGTATTTGGGCAACAGGCCCGTCTCTCTGTTCTGCATATGTTTTTCAGGATGAAGAGGGAGTGGTGTGTAATCTATAAATAGAGAGAGAGAATACTTCTTGTGGGAAATGGCCATTTTTGAGCTCAAAGCTACCTGAATGTACATCATAAAGGATCTCTTTAATCTTGAGGCAGTTTTAACTAGCAAGGGTTTCTCTGTGGTGTCTTTCATTTGACCCACGATCACCTTTTTCTTTTATTTGTAGTGACTGTTGTTTTACTTACTCACAAAGCTCCAGTCCTGCAATTTGCAGCATGTTGAGTGGACTTCATAGACTCCAGTGGAGTTCTTCACAGGCTCAACAGTCCATCTGCATGTTGTCAATTGCAGGATCCGGGGCCAAATTTACTTTCTTCACATGGTTGGTGGGTGGTGATCACACTGGCAGCTTCCCTGGAGGTCTGACTTCTGTCTAGCATAGTGGATCCATCACAGAAGAAAGGCAAAATGAGATTTATTTATATTTTTTTTGCATGTGACTGATTTCTCCTAGTGAGATCCATTACTCTGGACAGACTCCATTCCCTGTGCTTGTCTAGTAGGTATTCAGTAGATAGTTGGTTTATTATGGGATTTTCTCCTCTTTCAGTTCAGGAAGGGAATGTTTAAAAGGGCCTCAGTGAAATAAACAAAATGATTGGGGTTCAGATTGCGATGTTTCTAGCTTTGTCTCCTCTGCTTTGGAAGGATTTCTTTGGGGAGGGGGTGACATCAGTTCTGCAAACATGCCAGCAGGGGGAAATATTCAGAGGGTTTTTTTTGAAGTGGTGGTGGGGCATGGTGGGGTGTTGCAACTCTGAGTTAATACTTCTGCCAAGAACAGTGAATCTAGAAGAGGTAAGAGAACTATTCTTGCCATACTGTACTAGTTATAAATTACAAGGTAGTACTAGTTATGTATGTCCTGTTAATGCAACAGATTCATTTATATGAGCATATAAACTAAACATGGAAGATTGACAGAGGGCTGTTCTGTTTTAATCTTTGTGGCTGTGTCTTTCTGTGTAACACTTTAAAAAAATTCCTCTTACTTTATTTAGGTTGCACTCAAGTTTCTGTAGTACAAAAGATTTGCAGGTGCAAATGTCCTGCCTTCATTAACTTCCCCTCCCTTTTTAATTTATGTGATTTCAATTTTCCTTCCCTGTACTGTTAATTAGGGGACCCCTCTAATCAGTACCATTATCACAGTGGTATTCATGTTTAGGAAAGCTGCTAAACAAATGCTTGCAAAATTGCTAAATGGCTAATTAATGTCTGTTAATTAAGAAAATTGCTCATGGTAACAAACCATGCCATTGCTGGCAGCAGCTAGAAGGCGAACACTTGTTGAAATTAGTAATGTGGCAGGTATAGAACATCTGCTGCTGTGCTTTTCCTGAAGTGTGTGGCTGCTTCACATAACATACTTACAAGGCTTATTTGCTTTCTATACCAATTACAAGTTCTTGGACTTGAAAATTTTTTTTTTTTTTTGCATTAACATGCATCAGTGTATTCTTGCTCAGAGCTCACATTTTCCAAACAAACTTTCTTTTCATGCTTTAAGGGGGGGGGGATTGGTGTTCAACCCCAAAATGTCAGAAACTGCTGTCTTGTGGTGTTAAAAGCTACATGAACTAATCTTTCTTTTTTCCCCCAGACATGTTTAGTATCGCTTTACTCAAAAGAAACTTTACTTGCATCATTTAGGTAATTCGTCTTGAGGAAGGATATTGCATCTTTAAGGGTAACAACACAGCCCTGCATGTAGAAATGGGTTGGAGTTGTGCCATCCATTTATTGGAGCTAAACTAGGCTTCAACTTAAATATCTGGCACAAACATGGGATGTGCTTCTAAGCAAGATCTTTGCCTCAACACTATTTTTAATACCTTGTATTAACCATTTGACCCACAAATCAAAAGGAAGCCCTTTAAGGTGTTCCTTACCTTCAGGAAGGTGTGGGAGGGTAGTGGAGAAGACTTTTTTTCTCTCCATACACACACTTTTTTAAAGCGTATCCAAATGTATTTGTCATTGCAGACTGGTTGAATTCTAAACCATTACTGTAAAGTTGCTGGTGTGCTTTGACAGATGTTCTATTTTTTTAATTAATTTTTTTTGCATATATCATTATTCGTTGTTCTTTCATTACAAATGAATAGAAACTCAGCTAAAACGAGACTGGCCTCCCTACAAACAGATCCACCAGTAAATCCTTTTTAGCTCTTTCTGCGCTTTCATGTGCTAATCTATAACCTCCTTCTACTGTCTGACCTCACAGGGACCACCTGGTTCTCAGCCCTCGCCACACGCACAGCCTCCACCTCACAATCCTAACAGCATGATGGGACCCCACAGTCAGGTAAAGACACTAGAAATATGTAGGCCACTGATAACGGGGCTTGCGTTCTATTTTGCTCTTTAAGCTTGTTGGGTCTGATTGTCAGCTGATGTGAATCAGCATAGCTCCTTTGATCCTCATGGAGCTTCGCTGATTTACGCCAGCTGGGGATCTGATCCTCAAATTTATTCTTCCAACATCATGCCAGCGCCAATATGAAATGTTTGTTTCCTTTTGATTTTGTATGTTCAGTTGACAATGGATTAGAAAGTCCATTCGTAAGTTTCAAATATACATAGCTGTGATAGTGTGAGAATTTTGTTAATTTGTGTTGTGTTTTTTTTTTAAATTGCATTCATAGCACTGATATGAATATATGGTTTAAGTGCTTGGCTTTTGGTTCTTGGCATTGGGTTTTTTTGCTTCATTTACCAATTTTCTTTTTCACTTGGAAAGTGTCTAATAGTCAGGGTCTCCCATGCACTAATTTTAGCAGCCTTATATAGTACTGTCCAAGTATGTTAAACCATCTCTCCAACAAAAATAAATCTGTGAAAAATACAAAAATGGAGTGTGAAGATCTGTTTTTACCAACTCGTTTTTAAAAAAGAGATTTCTCCAGAAAAATGTGTAGATTGTAACCAGAGTCTGTATGGAATGTAGTAATTCTCTTTATCTCCATGCTGTGAGTGCATCCTGTCATTGAACTAATTTCATGTAATTACAGCCTTTTATGTCACCGCGATATGCAGGAGGTCCCCGGCCCCCCATCAGAATGGGAAACCAGGTATTGTATTTCCTTCCTCTGTTACCTGAGTTAAATGGGGGATTTTAAACCGAAACTTTTTTGGCAGTAGGGGGAAAACCAGACTTTCACAGAGCTGAAGGTTTCTTATATTCTTAGACAACTTTGTGGTATCACAATTCAAATAACATTGACTCACTGATTAACAAATTCCATCACAACATTTTCTCCGCTTTTCATGAGGGTTTGTAATGCATTGAATCTCAAGAAACCATTTGCTGGTAGAAACTCCGTCACATAAATGTAAATATCAGGACCTGGCATAGGAATTGTGTTCTGTCCACTGCCAACAGCTTCTTCTCTATCAAAAGAGCTTCCATGTAATACGCAGTTCTGAGTTCTCCTTTATAATCGCACAACTTCTTGGTTTTCCCTGACTGTCTCCCATGATTTCAGCTGATATAAACAAAATTATGCTATGCGACTGATGATGGTTTACAACAAAGCTAGCTTAAAATGTAAATTTTCCCTGGAATCTTTAAAAATTAAAGTGATGCATATAATCCTGCTGTTAGAGAAATGATCCACCAGAACACTTCGATCAGCTGCAGGGTTAAATTTTAGTTGTGCTTATCCTCTTCCTTATGGCAGCTTAAAAGAAAATGGGGTTTTGTTCATATAATTATGAACATAGCCTGTTTATGTGCAGGAGTTTTAAGATTGTGGCATTTTGTTGTAATTTATCCTGTTGAAGCATATGCTAAGAATTTAACCAATTACTTTCCTTCAGTTTCTTTTTAGCAAAAGGTGTAGCACAAAATACATCAGAAAAATAGTTACCTACTTAGTTTCTATTCCAATAAGATGTCACTTTACTGTTAACAAAGGAAGACCTTTTAAAATAAACCTTGTAACTCTTGTTAGTGCATTACGCTGTCTGTTAAAACACTGTTTTATAAATATGATTTAGAAAACGCCATTTAATTTTTAATACTTTGCTATGACTTTTTTTCCCCCAGTAGTAAGTGGCTCTTGTTACTTTCGGTCACCAGAACTCACTCACAAATGGTGCATATGCATTCTTTCTGTTTGAAACATTTAGGCATCCATTTTTTCCCTGTATCTCTGTTTAGCTGTCTGATTGTAAGAAAAACTTGTGAAAGAGAAATCCGTCTTACAGCCAACAAGCTTGTCAGTTACAAGAGACCGATTTGGTTCCCAAAGTGTTGTGTTGGTAGAGATAAACACTGATTATCTTACCAAGTACTAAATAAGATGAAACTTCTTATAATGCACTGAAACCAGTATAAACTCTTAACTCCAGCTTTTCCCTGTGCTGTGAGGAATCTTCAAAAATAAAAACAAAAAAGCCTGTCCTGGACAGTGTATGTTTCTTTTGGGGTTATAGGGAGCGAATGGGGAGGATTTGAGGAAGGAAGGTCCACCTGGCTTTACACAACTCCTTCACCTTCTCTGAATTCTCATCCTCATTCGTGCTGGTGAAATCTCTCAGCCCTGCAATGAGAAACCTGCACATGGAAAATGACACTGATTAGGCAGCTCCATGTAACTTTTTTTTGGAGTGCTTTACAATGGAGGACCTCCCCCTAGTTAGGACCTTAATCTCATGCTCTCTGGTGCCTGGCACGGTGGGTTCAGGGAAGAGGACTGAAGTCAAGTGGCTAAGCACATCTCTCTTACCTAAAGATGGAAGACCAGAGGATGAGATCAGCTGCTTGACACCCTGCTAGAACTATTGATGTCCCACCAGTTGAGAATGGCTACGCGACAATTTTCTCACATGTGCATGCATAAGAGTGCACAGGTGTGTTCAGATTTTCCTCAGGTAGAGGTTCTAGCTTCCAGCTAGAGGTTCTAGCTTCTGCCTAGTGTAAGAAAACAGGAAAGTGAAACTGATTAGGAGCAGAAGTTAAACAGACAAGTCAGTCTGTGCTGTCCAGGCCTGGTGAAATGCAGAAAGACAACTCTTTTTGTAAAGGGCAGTTTTACCATGTCCCTTTAAATCAGGCTTGCAAGACGTCCCAAGCTCTTGCTGCTGAAATATGGACAGCACAAGGAAAATGCTGGATTATCTGTAAGTGCTCTGGATATTAGTCTTGTACAAATTACATGTTGTAGAACACTATTTTGATTTTTGTCTAATAGCGTCAAGGTGGAGTCGTGGTTCCTTTCGATCTCAAGTTGCAATGATGTACCGGAAATGTTTGTGAACGGGCATTGTGAGGGATATATTTGTAATGTTGCAACTTCAGAATCTCGGTGTTCTGTGCTTTTTGTTTTTATACACTTGATAATTTAAGTTAATGAGGAGGATAAAACTAATTTGACTTGAAAATAAAAAAACAAACAAAAAAAAACAAATCCAAACCTGCTGCATTGAGAAATACTCTCACAACTTAGCTAGGTTACTGGCTAGATCAGAGGTGCAAAAACATTACAGCAGGGCCAAATAAACAAGAAATGAGGCAGTAACGATTAGGTGAGAAACACTTTAATAGCAATGTGAACCATATATGAAAAGTGTGTTTATTATTTTCCTACTTCTGTCTCCCAAGCTGTAAATCTATAAAGATTTGGAATGAAAACCTTCCCTCTGTTACCTGAGTTACCTACTCATGGCATTGATGTGTTGCCTGGCCTGCGTAAACTGACATCCTTCCTTATTGGAGAGTCTCTAAATTTTTACAGCATTATCTATTTCATGTTGGTATTCAAATAAAAGAAAAGCAACAGTGTTTCAAAATTGTTTACAGTTTGCTTCCCCAAGGTGTATGGTATCTGTGTTTTTTCTCCCTCTGTATTTGCACTGAGCTGTACATGGAAGTCCTCTTTTGAACTTTAGATTTGTTGTCCAAGTGGAGTATGACTTTGAAAAAAGAAATACACTGTTCGGGATACTAGGAAATGAGTAAATATACATTTTTAGTAGTCCTAAGGCCATCTTCATAAGCTATTCAGTAATTTTTAAAATCATCTTTGCAGATGAAATGTCTCTTCACTGGCAAATAAATAACTTTAATATATTTACATAGCATATTTGCCAAGTGTATACCTTGAAATTACATTGGCATCAGTATCATTTCACTGAAGTGCTTTGATCAGACATTCTCTCATCCTGACAGCCATGTGGGTCCCCTCCTTCTATTTACTTACAACTAGAAGCTTGGAATTGGACCTTCAGTACAGTAGTGTGAAGTATTACAAGAGAACTGGGGGTGGTTTTTTTAAAGGCTGTGAAACAAAAGTAGGAGGGTTATGAAAGCGAAGTTGGGCAAATTACAGGGATTTAGAGAAACACGTCATGGAAGATGGCTCCACAGATGTATACAGGTAGGAGCTGTGGGTAAGCAGAGGAAGTTATGACAAGTCCCTCGTTTCCCAGAAAATAGACCACGTCCCCTGAATTCTTTGTGTTTAAAGCCTTGAATTTAAACTACATATTTTGGTTACATATCTGAGAGCTTATTTTTCTTCTCCCCCACCCCCTACCCCCTTTTCTTCTCCCCCACCCCCAATTTTTCTAGCCTCCAGGGGCTGTTCCTGGTACACAGCCACTGCTGCCCAACTCAATGGACCCTACACGACAACAAGGTAAACATGCTCAAGGATGCCTGAAGGTGTCTCTCTGTTGGCTTTGGGCCAAACACTGTTACTCTGCTATAATGACTTCATTGATTCTACTCCCAACAGGGCACCCTAACATGGGAGGACCAATGCAAAGGATGAATCCTCCACGAGGGATGGGCCCCATGGGTCCTGGTCCGCAGGTAAACTTAAACTCCTGTCCAGTGCCAAATAACATCTTACGACTTCATAAAGTTTATAAGCAAAACATCATCCAAACAATCTCTAGGGGTTTAAAGAGCTGGGAGTTCTTCTCACATACTCTCCATTAGCACGAATGCATTTTACATTCGCGCATTGCAGCTGGAAAGCCCGCGTTCCAACAGTTGTATCTTCAGAGCTCAGCATCCTCATTAGGGATATTGCAGAAGCCCCTCTTGCTCATTAATTGGAGGCAGTGCTGTTTAGCTGTGACCACGTAGTGATGGTGAATGCATTATCCAACTTGCCTTGATAACACTTCAGAAAGGGAGTGCCCACATAAAAAAGTAAGCCATTTATAACGGGAACATAAAGCTTCCCTCTTCTGTATTCTGTTTTTCCCTATCCTATTCAATAGACTATTTCACTTCTCTGGCATTTAAGCCATTCTTTGTTTCCTGGATAAATCTAACGCTTGCCTCTTTCCCCTCTCCCAATTTTACCTTTAAACTTCAGATTGGGGATTTTCGATGAGGGAAAAATTTGCTGATGAGGTTTAGGGATTTTCCCCCAAAGTGGGATATGCTGAGTGATCTTCTCATGAGCTACAGAAAAATTCTGACTCCCTTTTTTTTCCTGTAACTTTTTTCCAAGTATATTTCAGAAGCTCTTGTCCTTTCCCAGGCGATTCAACAAACTTGTTAGTTTCCTTTATGGTAGGAGCTAAACATCGGCGTTACTGAAGAATCCTCAGTTTGTTTTTTTTAGTGTTAGCGGAATATCATTCTCCTCTGAATTTTCACTAGCATGAGTAGTAGCTCGACATCCGACAAAATCTTCCGATTCCTGAATGATGCCAAATCCCTCTTTGGTTGCATACATATCAGGGAGTGGGGGAACCAGTCCAATTATGAGTAAATTTTAAATGAAGTAGATCTGGGTTAATCTATTCTGTCTTTGTGTTGATTCCTTTTAACAAGTGAATTTGCATGCTACTATGTTGACTCACTCCTGTTTGTTTGTTGTGATAGACTTTAAACAACGTACTACCATATCTCGGACGTAGCTTTATCCTCCCTGACTTCTTGTTTCCTGTGTTGTCTTCAGAGCTGTGTAACCCTGGAATAAATGAATGTGCGTTGCACAGGTTTCCCAGGAGGCTGTTGAGCTAAAGGGGTCTTGTGTGAAGAGAGTTAAGAAATTATTTAACTTATGAGAAACTATTGAATACTGACAAGAAGGGAGAAAAGTTGATTGAATAAAAATGTACATCCCTCTCCTTGGGCATGGGTGTGAAACTCGGCTAGATTCCCCACACCTCAGAAAAAATCCCAAGCATTCTTTGCAGGCAAGCTTAGATTCCAATAGCTTGGTTATACATTTTAATGGTCTGACACTGTCAGGAACTGGTACAACAAAGCTCTTAATAGTCCCACATGTATGATTACAAAAGTCTGCATCTGTTGCACTTGCATCAGCCAAGCAAAAAGTGCCATGAAAGTTCTGGGTGCTCTCAGCAGTTTGGACAAACCAAGGTGATTGCCATGGAACTTGAAAGCTGTTGTATTTTAATCAAGCACCGTATAGGTTTTCCCCAGTCCCAGGTGGTATTGAAAGTTTTGAGTGTTAGGGCTTGCTTTCTTATGCCGGGACTATTAGAGCATGTACATTAGAGAGAGCGCCTTGTTTAATGTTCCTTTAAACAAGTGCAAGCCTGTGAAAATGGACGTGCAGTCTCATCAGCCGGTTGGCATGTTTTTGAGTCTTCCCAAAATGCTCAAGAAGCAGATGCCCAGAAGCTTTAGTGCGTGCATGAAATAATCAAAAATATTGAACAAGTCACCCTTTTTGTTGTGTGTAATAAATCAGTGTACATGCTGCACACCCACTACCTTCCCGAAGTGTTTTTTCAAGACCTTCTAAAATATTACTTAATAAGCATTTGTATGGAATACATTTTTATCCAACCAACAGTAACCTGCAGGCATGTACCAGCCACCTGATATTAACTGAAAACCAGTCATCTTTTACAATCTAGCATCATGTTTTAAACTCTTGACTTCCGATCTCTTTTTTTAATGATTGTAGCGTTAATTCTGTGAACAGTAAAAAGGCATTTGTTGGTGCTGCTGAGGTTAGATGTGTCAGTGCTTCTATTAAATACGGGCTTCCAAGGGTTTATAACTTCCCCTTTTTAATTCACATTTTGCTGAAGCTTGACACCTAGCTTCTCAGCACAAAGGCACCTTTTCCCCTTTCTCTAACACCTTTAAAACTCTTTGGCCTGTTTGGCTGTTTCTTTCAGCACCAGTTAGAAGTACTAAGTTTTAACATGGGGTTTTATGTAGCAGTTCAGCATAGAAACTGAGATTTGATCAATTAAGATTTGCTAGTGACTTCTTCGGGTAACCCTTTTCATCCTCCTAAAAGTATGCATGTAGATAAGATAATGGGCCCTAATTCAGCAAAGCATGTCAACGTGGGCTTAAATCCAAAGAGTTCAATGGGACTTCAGTACATGCTTAAAGTTAAGGAGATGCTTAAGTGCTTTGCTGAATTGGGACCATAATGAAATATTTGTACTCCTGCAACACCATTCTGTTGACCTAGCTGTTGTGCTTTGAGTTACAAATAAAGGTATGATGGCAGGGGAACCAAAAAAAAACAAACCCCAAAATGCTCTGTCTTATGAGAAACCAAATTTCCCAAATAAGCCAACCCCAAATTCACTGGTGTAAATCAAAAATATTAGTGGAGTACTACACTGCCAAGCATTAGGTACAGCTCCAGTCCTAGGAACGAACACGGAATTTGCTGGAGACCCCATTTATCCCCTCATTCGTGGCGAGAAGAGAGCCTCTTAGCCGCTGACTCAGTCTACACTGCATGCCTCTTGGGAGGGCATGTAGGATACATGGAGCTACATGCCACTGCGAAAGGCAAGCTGTGTCCACACGGCGATGCATAGCGACACATATGTCGGGGAAAGGCTCTGGCACGGGGAGGCAGCAGGAAGCTGCCAGAGCCTTGGGGTCTTTCCCTGCTTTGGGGAAAGACTTCAGCAGTGGGACACCTGGCTTGGGGAGTAGATTACGTACCCAGAGGGTTCAGGAGTGTGTCTTACTCTGTTTACCTAAGCAGCACCTCGTGGTCTCCATTGCTGTTATACCCATGCTAGGGGAACTAGCCATGTGCGGCGTAAGTGTATCTCAAGAGCTCTTTGGGAACAAATAGAAGTTGTCCCATTCCAGTCCCAGAGGGACAGCTGTCCGGATACAGAGCCTCAGGAATACGCACAGTCAAGTTAAAGTGGGGGAGGGGGCAGTTCTCTAGGCTCTCTCAAAGAGATGGGGGAAACCCGTTGAGTGAGTAGAAGTTTGCAGGGGGAAAATGGGAGTGTGTGTCTGTGAAACCCGGGAGCCACACAGGTTTTGTTCCTCTCCTTGAATGGAAACCCCCCCCTGCGTTTTCTGAAACAGGTGGTGTAAGCGACTTGCACTGCCATGCTCGCAAACACAGGGAGCGCAGAGCAAGTCTGAGGGAGAACCCTTTTGATCAGGCACTTCATCTAGTGACTGCACCGTTTTTCCCAGTCGCTGGCTGTCAACATCCTCCTCCTCTTTATCCCTTTTACAGTCGTGGTTTGCTGGGATGGGTGCTTAGCTCCGTGTGTGGGAGTGGTGGTTTCCTAGATAAACCAGCCTTGCAAAACTGCTGAGGAAATAAACTGGTCCAGGCACAGAAGAAACAAATGCTATTTTACCTTGAATGAATGGACAAGAAGAATTTAGCAAGGCTGATGCACACTGCGAAAGGCATGCCCAGATCCGTTGGTGATGGGCAACTGACTTGGAGAGAGGCAGAGAAATTCAGCATGAGGATTCCTGCTCCTGGAGCCACAGCATTCTCTGGCTTGGCATTACAATAGATATGTTCTTATAAGATCAGGTACACTGATCGGAGACTCCTGTGATAGGCAAAGCCAGGGGGTGACATAAGAAAGGAGAGCAGGTGCCTGAGTTGTTTACAGCATTTCTGTGTTGCATGTCACCTTCCATCCCACCCCCTGTGCATGCGTTTGGGTTTTACTTGCTGACGCAGCATCAGATTTGACTATGAAGAGGTGCGAGTCAGTGACTTGGTCAATCTGAACAGTTCTGTAGGAAAATCGAAGTCCCGTCCCTTCCCTTGCAACTCTGCGGGCCGTGAATCTGTGTGTGTGTGCGTGTGCGTGTCTGAAATGCACACTGTTCTGTAGTGACTTTAAGACCAATCTTTTTTTCTTTTTTTAAGCTTGAGATGTAACCCTAGGAGGACAGGTTGCTTTTCCGTATCTAGAAGGCTACTGCAAACGTTCATGCTGTTGGCATCTCTTCTGTGCATCCCATTGCTTGCTCATTACACTATAGCAATGATCTTTCAAGCAGATACTTTTTTTCTCTGTCCATCCACCCCCAAACAAAAGAAAGGGGGGGAAAAAAGAAAAACCACAGGCCAGAAACTGATATGCCTGCTGGAGCTGGGAGGGAATTTCCCTCACTCCATAATAATTGTATTGCACGGTTGGCCGGGGCATTCTCTTTCCTCTGAAGTGGGCCACTCCCAGAGGGCAGGTCCAGGTTTAGGATAACCCAGTGCTGTGCTCCAGTCTGCAATAGGGAAGCCATAATGCAAAATCTGTCTGGCTTCTGTATAAACCTTTAACAGCCTGTGATGTCAATGGAAAGATACCATAGTCCTGTTTTATTTTAAAGTTTTTAATTGCTTGTATGTTCATCATCATCTAATTTTTTATTAAAGTTCATTTTCACAAACTAACCCTCTTGTTTTTGTTTGTTTGTTTTTTTCCCTTCTCTTTTCTTCTCCGGTTTCCCTTCTCGTTATGGTAGACTGATCCTTGGTTATCATTGCAGAACTATGGCGGCGGAATGAGACCTCCACCCAACTCTTTAGGCCCCGGCATGCCTGGAATTAACATGTAAGGCAAAACCCATGATGCTTTAACTCTGGTGTCTGACAGCAGCTTTGACCCTTGATTTGAAATTACTTTGGAATCCCAGTTCTACATTGCTGTTGAGCTGTATCTTGACGTGCCATGTATAAAAAGCTTTTCTTTTTCATTTAAACTCTAGGGGCCCGGGAGCTGGTAGACCATGGCCTAATCCTAGCAGTGCTAATTCAGTAAGTGTCTGTCTTTTTATCAGTATTAGACTAGAGCAAAAGTTTGTACATGAGCATCTCTTCAAATATGACTTCCTTCTCGCGTCTTTTGTTACTTCTGACTAAAGCCTCGTCTTTTGAGCCAGCCAGTGTACAGGTATTACATGGACATGCCTGAGTATCAGGACAGGAGAGTAGTGTTATACCCATTTAATGTGGACAAACCCCCAGGCAAACATTCACCGTCCTCCATACCATCGAGTGCTTCCCAGCGAGCACCCAGCTAAGTAGAGAAGATTTTTATGTTGCACAGTGTTCCGTTAATTTGGTTACTGCCTTGGTGTGTCTAAAAGTTACAGTTGTGTTTCTTTGTTCTAATCTGTTCCTTAGCCAGTTTTCTGTCCATTTTCTTTGTGATTCAGGGAAAAGGTGTGATACTGTGCAGCACTGTGGGCACACACACACACAAAAAAAAAAAAAGTAGGGGGAAGGAAGGAGACAGGATCTTCCAGCAGCAGCCTGGTCATTCGGTGACCACAGATGTGTCTGATGTAGTGCAGAACACCCACAACCTTGCTCTTGAACCATTAATTTTTCTTGCCTTTTTATATCCTGCCAATAGTAGGGTTTTAGGGATGGGGTAAGTGAAATATTGTGTGCCAGCATATTCAGTGCATGATGGGCATTTATAACCCATCAGAGGCCACTACTGTAATTCAACCGAATTTCCGCTTCAGTTTGACAAAGCAGAATGTGCGCACCCGAGTTAAATGTGTAAATCGGGATATTACTGATGAAATGCTGCATTTCAGATAGGTGACTCTCTCCTATGATCTGTTTATAGATTCCATATTCTTCTTCATCGCCTGGTACATACGTGGTAAGTTCCTGGGCCTAGTTCTTATTTCTAGCCAGATTTGTGGTCAGATTTCAAGTATATACGTTACAGGTCATTGACTCTTTGTACACACACATGTGTATGTAGATATAACTTATTCGGACTTATAAATAGATTCTCGGTGTGAGTTAAACGTATATAGCGTAGCCATGTCCCTCCATCCTGAGTTGGTACAGAAGTCTGGGTAGAGGCAGAAATTCTAAAATGTAAGAATGTTTGTTTCTAGAAATCTGCATGTTTTCTGAGTACCCAGAACAGCCTCCCTTTCCTGTAAATCTAAAAAATGTTTTAGAAGGGGTCCCGTGGACACTGCAAATGATTTCCACTCTCTCCCATATACACCTCTCAGATGCTTTTTTTTTTTTAATTCTGATTTTGCTCGAGGCTTAAACAAAGCATTGTACTTTGGCTAGGAGAGTGCATCAAAGGTTTTAGCAGGAGATTAATGCTTGGCTGAATACCAAGGTGAGACATTGTTGCTGACAGCAGCAGGATCATGCTGACCTATTGCAGTATGTTATCACAGTGGTTTTTGACGTGTGTTTAATCTTGTCTACAGGGGCCCCCTGGTGGTGGAGGTCCTCCAGGAACACCGATCATGCCTAGTCCTGCAGGTAAAATTCAACAGCCGACGAATTCAGCACTAAAAAACCCAAATTTGCTGATTGTTTTCAGTGATAGCCTCCTAACTCCTCAGCTCACGCTCAGCTGCCATTCCATTGGATTTCTGATCACGTGCAATCGTATTGAAAGAAGCTTTTGGTGGTTGTTAGGATGGGGCTTTGTATTCACTTCTCCGCCCAGGATTGAGTTTCAAGAGGATGAAAATTCACGGTGGGGGGGGGGGAGACTCTGAGAGCACGTGTGAGCACATATGAAGTAGGGAAGAGGAGGGAGCTCTTCTCAGTGTCCGGATTTGTCTCCCTGAGAAGCAGCAGTCACTTCACGTTTAATCTCCGTGTTACTAAAGTGAACCAGCCTTGTTTACATGCCTCACTAGAAATGTGCAAAATGCTGCTTGTTCTTTGACAAAACGTCCTTATAAAAAATTGACTCTATTTATTTGTCTTTCCTTTCAGGCTGGTTAGCAAACAAAAAGCGAGGGAGTTATTTTGTACTGTTTAGGGGCTGACATCCCAGCTACCGCTTGCTCTTTAATAAAATAAAATACTATTTTTAACCTTGGCTTTGTTTATTGGCTACAGAAAAAAAATCCAATCTCTATTTACTACAAATGTTTCCTGTGCCCCTTCTTCCCCCACACACATTAACTGTGACGCTTTCTCCCTCAAAAAGACCAAGTCAGGCTGTGGAGGCTGCCATTGTGGTGGTCAGATTTATAATGTGGACTTGCAGGGGCTTTTGAAAACAGCTTTGCAAAATTCTGCTTGTCACAGGGAGGCTAATTCCCTCGCCCCCAAATTTCTTGTTTTTTGGATGGGTCACTAAAATTTCCCACATTGATTTTTTTCCTCCTTCCCCACATAAAGGTGGGCATGTAGATTCTGCATCAGGACTGGTAAATTTCTCTGGCAGTTTTGCAAGGCTGATTTTGTAATTGTTGTAGTGATCAATCGGAGGGGATGGCGGGTGGGTGGGCTCCAGGGAAGTAGCCTTGCTCTGTAACTCTGGTATTTCACAGCTGCAGGGGTGGAGCTAAAATGTAATATTACGACTGTCTTTCTGCTTCTGCATTTTTATGAGAACTCTGACCTACATTTCAGACTAGGTCATAATAAAACAATCCATATGTCAATGGGTGCTGCTAGTCACTGCCCCAGTGTTCTGTCACTGCAGCACACTTGTAATTCATGCATTTATGTATTGTGACGTGATTAAAATGGTTTGTCTGTTACCATGTGCACTATAAAGACCCAGGTTCCTTTTCCATACTGGTTCGGAGATTTGTTTTTAATACCGGTATTGTAATAATCTTGGATAATGTTTGGATAATTCTGAGGTGTTAAGTGATACATAGAAGCAAATTATCTTTCTACGCTGCTTCTGACGAGCAAGCCCTGTGATTCTCAGTAGTTGAATTATTTTCACAGTTGAATTTCTGTGATTAAAAACTTTGTGAATCTTCATTAAATACAAATTAGCCAGAAAATGGTGGTACTTACAGGGAATTTTAGGTGATAAAATACAAAAGAATGAGTTCAAGTGGCATGAGTTTGTTTTAATTAAGAAATGAATTAATCACTCTGACTTACTGGGCTTCACTGTTCTACAGATTCAACCAATTCAAGTGACAACATCTACACAATGATTAATCCAGTACCGCCTGGAGGCAGTCGATCGAATGTAAGTCTGCTTTCTAATAATTTACATATCAGATACCATAACAAATCATAATTAACTTCATCAGTTGAGGGTAGAGCAGTTTAATTGATTTCAGCCATTGGTTACAAAATAGAAATAAAACAAACCATCAGAAAGTGATTAACTCTTCATCAACTTTGTTAATTTTTTATGCTTATTAAAATGGGGCTGTTCATGCTGCTCTGGCCAAGATCATGTCAGTAATGCATCCAGTTAGCAGTCGCATTTAAAGGGATACAGTCGTCTTATAAACTACTCGTTTTCAAAAATTGGTTCCAAGCACTGCCTGTTTCTGAGATCCCTCTGTCAGCGTGGGTGGATTTTTGTGATCATTTGAGAGATTTTTTTTCTCTCTCTCCCCCCGGGAGGGTGAGTATATAATAACAAAAGCTCGCACCAAAGGGAAAGCTGACTCTTCAGGGGAGAACAGCAAAACTGACTAGACCCAAAGGTAGGGATTTTCAAGGGATGAACTGAATTTCAGTGGGATTTGGGCTCCTCTGACAGTCACAGCCCAAATCAATGAACTGGATAAGGGGAAGTGCAGAGAAGAGGGCCATGTTCATTGTGACGTTGATGGGTGTTGCAGGTGAAAAAGATCAGACCAGATTGACTTTTCTTGACTTTAAGGGTATGTCTGTCCTGGAATAAAAGACCTGTGGCACAGCCGTGGCTAGGCCTGGGTTAGCTGACTTGGGCTCATGGCGCTTGGGCTGCAGGGCTAAAAACGGTTGTGTTTGGGCTCTTTGCAGGGTCCTGAACATCTACACAGCAATTTTACAGCCCTGTGAGCCTGAGTCAGCTGACCTGGGCCAGCTGTGGGTGTTGGCTGCGTAGATGTACCTTAAGGGGCTTTATAACTGGGCCCTGAAGCTTCATTCTGTCCTGCAGCTTGGCACATAAAACAGTAAGATGTCAAACCCATTATTGACGGGTTTGGGGGTGTTTTTGTGCCCATGTTGGCTGCATGTCTGTTTGTACAGATATTTGCTGGTTTTGACTCTGTTTTGTCTTCAACTTATGAAGGTAAAGTGACTCGAGTGGGAACTCCCTTGGCCATTTCCAGTAATGTGATCTTTGCAGATCTAGGGACAGGGAAACAAAATGAGGGAGGTGATGAGGATAAACAAAAACCTTCCCCCACTTCTTTACAGTAGTGCCCCCTCTGTGCTCGGTACTTTCCAGTCTCCCAACGAGGGTGGGCCCTGCTGCAAGGAGGTGACGCATTATTGAATCTGCCTGCCCCTGTTCAGTGTGGAGCATGGGAGTGTGGCACCCATAAGTGGCTGCATTGGCTGGATCAGCTGTGAGGATCCATCACTCCTGTCTGTGTGCTGAGGAGGAATGGTGTGGGGGTGGGAAGACATTGCACCCATCCACTTAGAAAAAGAAATGTTGGTGCCAGAAGGTGGGTGTGTCAGAGCATGACGGTTCCACCTGAAGTCTGTTTTGGTTCGGTGCTCGGTAAGGGAGGAGCTGACGGCATTGGCTTGGAGGAGCTGTACAGCAGTGAGGAGAGTGCTCCTCCATCCGGCCCGATAGCAGGCCTGGTACTCTGGGTCTCTAGGCCTTGCCTGAGCAGAGGCTGCCAGTTGGCCTGAATCCTGGAGTGCTCTTCGGCTTGGTATGGAGAGTGCAGGCTGCTAGCTAGCTTTGATGGCTTTATTCACCAGGAAAATGGCAGAGCCGGGTTCAATTAGCACCCCTGTGCTCATGGGTCAGGAGCCTGGCAGATGTGAGGCACTTGACGCCCAGGCTTCAGACTGCTCAAGAGCAAACCCCATTGTCTGACTTGAGGAGCGGCATGGGTAGGCCCCAAAGGGAGGCGATGACGTTCACAGCACAGGGGGCTGAGGGGTAGATCTAGCTAAGGTGATCATGTTGAAGCCTCACTGATCCCTGGGAATGAGCAGCACTGGGGGAATGAAGATGAACGGTGGTGTAAGGAAATATGGCCGGCTCCCTCAGCCGGCCATTGAAATGTGCTGGCAGGAGATCTTTGGCCTGGATTTGCAATGGTAGATCAGGTTGCGCACCCTTCAGGCGAGAGGTGGTTTTGCCATGCAGTGATCTTGGAACACCCCCTCATGGCCAGAGAAGGATGTCACAAGCACAGTGGAGTGAAATGGGGGGAGCCAATCTTCGTAGGGCACAGCATGTTGACCCCCGCGTTGGGTTATAGTGGCTGGTTCACTTGGGGATATGCTGGTGGGGAGAATGTGTGCCCTTTAGACATCACTTCCTGGCTTCAAGGAAGTGTAACTGTTTGGGCTGCCCGTGCCCACGGGGGGGGAAAGTAGCTGCAGAACCATTGTGCTGCTGCGTGTGTGCCTCTGTCCTCTGAGAGAGCACTGAGTGCTGCTGACAAGGCAGCTGGGGGTCACCCCCCACATGTGTGCATGTCCCCGCCCTCCCTGCCGTTCTTATTGGGGCAGACCGTCTGATGGCGGGGCAGGAGGGTGAAAGGGTCACACGCATGTGTCTGAGCATGGGTTTCACTGCTGTGTGTTTGTGACTGTGTTTCTGGAAGAGGGGTTTGAACCCCCGCTCACCATAGCACCTTAGAGCATTAAACCAGGTGGGAGAAAGGAAGCCCTCCCTATCGCGCCTGACACCCGTCATATTACCCGCTTGCCTCGTTGGGTGTCTTGGCTGACTTGATAGCCCTGTGATTCAGGTCCTATCAGCCTGCCACAGTGAGCTATTTCCAGAACGGTGGGGGGCCCTGTCCACTGCGGGTGTATGGTCCCAAAGGAGGGATATTAGTTTCTCTGTAAACACTGTTCATGGTGGAGGTCGCAGAGGGTGAAACCAGAGCCCTGCTATTCTGTGTAGCTATAGAGTCGGGGGTAATTGAGTCGAAGGCCAGAGGGGACCACCAAAGTGTCTGAGACCTCCTGTATGTCGCAGGCCACACCACCATCCGCACACTAAATCCAACAGCCAGAACTGGACCAAAGTATTACCGCCTGCACCCCCTAGTGATGTAGCCATGCCAGCAAAACCCCCAGGTAGATGCAATGGTGCTGACAGAAGAGTGCTTCATTTGTGGACATGGTATTCCTACCCTTTCGGAAAAACTCCTTCTCTCCACATACTCTGTCTACACTGGAGGCTGTGTAGGCATAGCTGTCCCAATGTGGGCTCTGTAGTGTAGACGTAGCCTTAGTGACCAAGACTGTAACTTTTCTGAGGCGGATAAGTTTTCAAGGGATATTGCTTCCCAACCCAACGGGAGCCAGGTCACCTTTCCATGTCTGGGCAAAATTTGGATCATAGAACATTCTGCTCTGTTTTGAGGCCATCTTTGCCAGTGGGAGGGCTGGTGTGCTTGATGCTGATAGGAGTACGGGTCTCTTATTTTGGGGTTACATTTTCTGCTGTTTCCTTTCTCAGTTCCCAATGGGGCCCGGTTCTGATGGCCCAATGGGAGGCATGGGCGGTATGGAACCACATCACATGAATGGATCGTTAGGTAAGCTCAAGGTTGGCTGAGCGGGAAGCGCACTAGAGCTGACCCGTAACAAGCTGATTAGAGCTCTGTGAGGGAGATACTATTGTCCGGTGGCTTTTCCTGCCTTGCTCCTGGTGTACTAGTCAGTGATTTTTGGAGGCCCATGAGCACTGTGAGCTCTCAGAGGTCTGAGAATCACCCTATTTCCTCCGGCCCATACCCCACACAGCCTTCTTTTGCCTTGACCTACCTGCCAGCTGCCTGTCCGCCCACGTGGCTGGATACTCTTCTGTTGTAGCATGGAGCACTATCGCAGTCTCACTGGAGCAGCATTGATAGATTCAGTCAGAAAAGGAGGTTAAACGCAAAACCAGGGTTGGTGTTTAATTGAAAGCAGTAGAAAGGCCACCATTAACCTAGAGTCTGTCTCCTATGTTGTCCTGCTCTAGGAGCTATGCTATAGCTTGATCAGTGTCCGAGTGCCACAGGGAGAGCCAAGGCCCCTGCAACTAACCTGCCATTTTTCTAGTGCCATTCAGTAAGAGTGCCCGGCGCTTTGCAGTCAGGTGAGCGGTCCTCCACTCCCTGGAGGCCAGCATACAAAGGAAAGGCAGCTGAGGCCCCCCACCATTCCCTTTTACCAGAGGCAAATGTTAAGAGGTGTGGGATTAACACAGCTGTGACCTGTATTGCTTGCTGCTAGCAATGCCCTGGAGTAGCTGCATGTAGCAACCGCCTCCTGTTTCTGGATGGCATTCTAGGCACCTGCCCAGCACCTGCTCGAGCACTGAATGGGCTAGCCAAGGAGAACTGCATTAACTCTGAGCAAGGAATGTCACTAACCTGCAAATAAAAGTTCTCTTTCTTCCCCTCTCTCGATAGGGTCAGGCGACATAGATGGACTTCCAAAAGTAAGTGTGCACTCTGGTGACCGTAAAGGTGAATCATTTTCCTTTCAACTGTAGTCCGTCCTTCCCTCATAAAGCATCAGCAGTGAGACAATTGTGTGTGTGATTGGAGAGTCCCCAATGTAGGGGGAGCAATAGAGGGACACCAGAGGCTTTCTCCCATCCTGTAGCCCTTTCCCATGAGACATTTGCTTCGGCGCGAACAGAAGGCTGTATAAAACACAGCCGTTCTCTCCTGTTTTCCCACCGGCTGCTCACAGTCGTTAGCGAGGGATTTTGCCAGTCTGTGCTCAGTGACGTATTTGAGGCATACTCCCCTTCTCCTTCTTTTGTCTCCTTAGAATTCTCCAAACAACATAAGTGGCATTAGCAACCCCCCGGGCACTCCGAGAGATGATGGTGAACTGGGAGGTAACTTCCTCCATTCCTTCCAAAATGACAATGTGAGTTGCTCAGACACCCAGTCTCTAAGCCCCCTCTCTTTTGGGATCACAAAATTTATAAGGCTCTGTCTCTGCTTCCTGGTGGGGCCTGAGGTCTGGAGGGGCAGAGGTGATCGTGCTTTCTTTGATGATCGTAGAGAAAGCATGTTGTCATTTAATACAGATCTAGCTGTGGTCCAGAGGACTCGGCACAGGGCTGGGAGCGGAGAAGCCCTGGTTCCTAAACCTGATTCTGCCACTGCCTTTCTGTTTGACCCAGGGAATGTTGCTTAACCTCTGTGCTTTGGAGACCCCTATCCAAGCGAAAAACAAAAAGTAGCGATAATAAATCTTCCCTGCCATTTGCGCTGCATTTTGAGATCTATTTCTGAACAAGGTATTGAACCAAAAAGCATGTAGGCTAGACAAGATGGCAACCGCATGTAACAAATGAGGCTGAGGGGGGAGAAAAAACATGACAGCAGTAGGGTCACGTGCTTGTGTAACCCGGCTCTGTGCCCAATTGGTAGGGTTTTTTAATAAAGGTGTAAATAAACCTTGCTGGCCCCCTTTCTAGCCATCGTGTGCGTGAAATTGACTCTGGTGAAAGTGAGCTATCGTGGTGAGCTAGAGACAAACATCTTCGCTCTGTGAAAACCTCCGTATACAGCTGTGCTGCAGTTTGGAACAGCAGGGAAGCTGCAGGTCTAATCTTGGGACCCCCTATTGATGCTTGAGAGCAGTTTTGCTCAGGCTTGCAACACCCCCTGCTGTTTCCGAGCTGCCCCTGAGCAGACACCGCTAACCATGCTCGCTTTCAGCTGCCAACAAATGTGCACGCATCTTTGAGATCTGCAGAGTATTTTCACGATGGATTTCAAGCTCTACAGATGCAAGAGGCTCCCCCTCTTTTTTTCTCACTGTATTTAGCATTATATACATGCATGCATTTAAATTGCCTCCTACCCCATACTGTTTTGCTTATTTTCTCCCTGGAAAGACCATTATGCAGCGGATTATGTGCTGATAAATTAAGAGTCTCTAGCATATTCTATCTTTCTGATTTATTACATCCAATTATGTTGCTTTATAGTTTTCATAAGCCCGAGTCTTACTTTCATATCCCCTCTTCCCTGGCCTTGGCCGCGTTCAGTATTTCAGTCCTGTTTGCCCAGTACTCATTCTGTGCTTGTCTCTCTTTCAGTATTCCCCCAGCATGACGATGAGTGTGTGATTTCCCTCCCCCTTCCTCTTCTCCAGGATAAAGAGAGTCAGCTGCCATTTGGAGGATCTAAAAGAAATTATGCAAGAAGAAGCTAGGTGTATTGGCAGAGAGACGCGAGGGGGCCAAACCCCAGTTTTAGTTTCATGCAATAAAAAGGCTGAACTTTTTATTCCATAAAACATGAAGGACAAAACTTAAAATATTTCAAGACGTGACAAGATCCTTCTTGTGCGGAAGGATTTATATATGTACATGACACTTTTTTTTTTTTTTTTTTGGGAAACAAATGGAAGCCTCCAGTACCCAACTCCAACCTCTTTGCTTTGTTCTTTTAAACCTGTTGTATGTTTGTGCTGTGCTACACCAGGAAGCTAGTCTAGATATGAAATCTCATGTTGTCTCTGTTGTAGTCCTATTTTTTTGAAAATAAACTGGACAGTTTACAATTGGCGGTTTTTGTTCGGAAGGCGTGTTCTTGTTTTTGTTTTTCTTGTTTGCAGCACAACGCCGCCTCCTCCAGAAGAGACTCCTCCACCTCATAGAAAGTTGTTAATGCAGTTGGCCCCTCATAGGATCACATCCTCAAGAATTAATTGTGATCTTACTATCTGTGACCGTGGCATGCACTGTATTAGTCTTTTTTTTCCCCCTCTTGGAATACAAGGAGAGTTCAATACTTCCCCCTGCGAGAATCCTTGAGCTATATTTCCCCCCCACCACTACCACCAAAAAAAGAGAGAAAGAAAGGGTTAATCTGACCTGGGATTTTGTAACTGTGATCTCAAGCTAACATCTTTGTTGATTTTTGGTTTTGTATTTTTTTAAAAAAAGATGTGATCTTATCAGGGTTTCGCTGTATGTGTTTTGGAACTGGATGGAGATATTTTAAAGTAATTGTTCAAATGTATACTTGCTATTCTGTAGGCTCACTCTGTAACAAAAAAAAAAATAAAAACAAAAATGAAAAAATTACCTTTCTTCTCTTGGTAGAGGTGACTACAGAAAAGTAACCAACCAACCAACCATGTTAAAGTGACACTCGCCAGAGTCTGGGATCTATGTACATTACACTACCCTGTAGTTGGTCTTTGTTTTATAAATCTCCACTTCTGATCCATGTATATCACATTATGTAAAATATTATCTCCCTGGATTTCCCTTTGTGCCGATTATTGAGAACATTGTATCTTGTTTCAGTGTTTTTTCTTACCTTGTAGTCTGGTTCTAAAATAAGAGAGGGAAAAAAAGTAATTATTATACATTGTAGTTTGTGTACGATATTTGTTGATAATGTTTTATTAAAGGGATGTCTTTTTTTCTGCACCCCTTCATTGAGATGTTTTTTGGGAACATTGGCTGGTTTTTATTATTCTGACTGCAAGACATGAGATGACAAACTTTTTTTAGTGTGTCATATGAATTTTTTTAAATGTTTGCCTTCTTTTTCCTAGGCATTTTAATTGTGCTTTACCTGTAGAAGGTCGTGGGGGGGGGTGAGGGGGTGGCTGGGGGGGGGGGGGAAAGGGTGTCAGTCTCATAGTTACAGTCAGGTTAATATTTAAAAATAAAAAAAAAAATCAAATGAAGATTTGTTGTATTGCTGATACATCCGTGGTCTCCAGAATGGATCATCTTTTTTTGTTTTGTTTTTGTTTTTTGAAGTGAGAAATGACAGACCGGTTTTAATGTATTTTAAAATGGATAGCTAAATTATTGTCTTCATTGGTATGGGATGGTTTTTGAATGAAACGGTTTTTTCCCCCCTCCATGCTGTAATAAATATAAACATAAACATTTGAGTTCAGGTCTCTGCTGTTTGTTACTGGGATTTGCCATGAGAAAGCTGGGCACTCTTTTTTTTCTTCTAATGACTCAAACACTTTCTGTACGGTTTTGGGGGGGCGGGAGAGTGTATCTACTGAGGATGGGCCGTTTTAACCCCTCCCCCACAAGGGACTTGTATCGAGACTTTCGGTTCCAGACAGAGCGGTAGGGTTTAGAAGGGGTGGCAGATCCTAGCCCCAGCTTTTATCCGCTGCTTTGTCAGTTGCAGAGATGCCGCTCAGGGGCTGGTGGAGAATTCCTTCAGCCCAGAGCAACAGAAGACTGAGGAAAGCAGCTCTGTACTCTTTTCCCCGCCCCATTGGGCCCTAGTGTAGAGGTGTGCCCGTAGCAATGGGTTCTGGGCTACACCGCCGCCTTGGAGAAGCGGCTATAAATTAGAAAAACCCCTTATGCCAGTGGCCATTTCAGCCCACGGAGTGGCCCAGAATCTGGGCTGCACCAAGGTGATATAAAGTCAAGCTGCACCTTCTGAGCTAGGCCTCTCAGGAGGTGCTGTGTAGAACCTGGGCCCCCGGGGCAGGGGCAGTGGGATGAGTGAATGCCATGGTATGGATAGTTTCCTTTGGGCTATGCCTGCGAAGGACTCCGATCTGTGGGAATATCTCTGGAAGCTTGTCTCCAGCCACACTGGGATTGGAAGCTTTAACAGTAATGTCGGGTGGAGGGGGGTCGAAGTCAGCGTTTCTTCGTCTTAAAACTGAAATGTTGATGGACAGCATGTGTCTTATCCATTGGAAGAATGTTACAATTCCCCATCCTATGAGCGTGCTCATTGGGAGAGAACTGATGGGGCCTGGGGACCCTTCTGTTAAAAGTGGATGTCAGTATTTTAAAAGCACCTTTAGGAGCCTCATTGGGAAAGTGAGATTCCCTGCATGGGGGAGGCTCTCCACACCGCAGAAAGCCCTGTGACTCTGTGGGGTGAAAAGGTCCTCCTGCCCCCCCTATATTTGCTGGGGAAGTTGAGCCCATTAGCAGCCAGTGCAGATGGACGTGTGGGGCACCCATTAGATCTGCACGAGGAGTCGTGCTGGAGCACCACTGCCTGCTATGCAGGTGGGAGCAAGATGAGCCGAGTCCATTTAGTCTGTCTACATGGCAATCAGAGGTGTGATTGCAGCTCAGACATACCCACGCTAGCTTTAGTCTAGCCAGCCTGGCTAAAACTAGCCATGAAGATGTGGTGGCACAGGACCCCAGCGCTGGCTAGCGATGCAAGTATGTACCCAGTGTTACGGGCGGGCTTGCACAGCCAGCCCTGAGGCCCACGCTGCAACAGCTTCACTGTGATTTTTAGCCATTTGAGCTAGATTAAAGCTCTAATGCGAGCGTGCCTAACTGGGCTGCCGCCATCTCTGATTGTAGGCTAGACAGCCCAGACTCTGGCTTCATGCTGGCTTGTGGGCTGAGAGAGAATTTCACCCTAGGAAAATTGTGTTAAGTGTATGCCAGGTATCCATCTTCATTTAAAAAAAAAAAAAAGTTGAAAATTCCTCCTTTTCCCTTTCAGGGGTCTCATCTTCATGCAATTGTTGATTGTTTGCCATTTGTAGAGCAGGGAGTGCTTTATACACAAATATAGACAAGGTCAATTACAATGTAGCTCCCAGGTGACATCAAACTGTGTGTGCTGGTGATAGGCATCAGCAGACTAAGCAGTTGCTGAGGGCCCCAAGCAGCTCAAGGGGGCCCCCTATTCTCTTTTTATAAGAGCTTGTCTGTTTTAGAATTGGGAAGCCTAAAATATTCCTACTTAGGACCCCCAATGGGCTAGCACCGGCTCTGCAAACGCTCAAAACAAAGTGGAGAATGTAGGGAAAGGAGCTGGATTTTATTTGTGGCCAGCATCTGTTGCAGGAGATGCACAAAATCCTGATTGAAGGTGAGGAAAGGATATTGGAGTGTTAAGTTTACAGCTTTGTTTTTAACGAATCGTAAACATCCAGTCAGCATGTGCTGTTCTCACATACATCATGTGGAGGTTCTGGTGTAACTCCAAGGGGAAGGTTACTTTTTTATACCCTCACCCCCACACACACACAATATGAAAAGACCCAATCTGCAGCACCGAGCACAATGGGTTCCGTAATTCCCAGGTGATATTGCAATACAAGGTAATCTTTAATGTAGCTATTCTGAAGAAAACACTCTGTGACAGCTCTTCTCTCCGATTTTGATGTGACTGTTCTCGTTCTGAGCTAAGGCTGTTGTGAACTGTAACTACAGAAAACCCCCAGTGTGGGGTTTGAAGGACTGGCTCCTGTCAGAGCTCTTTTTGGAGTTGGGGTGATCTCTGGTAAGCTTATTAGCATGCATGCAGGGGTTTGTTTTTAATGTTTTTTTCCTCTGAAATGCCTTTTACCTTAAGAATAAATGTGCTTGCATAGAAAGAGCTGTTTGGTAACTTGTGACTGCTGACAATGCCAGCTGTTCATAGCGTTCGGAGAGAGAGCAAAGTGCAGATGCTGGCCTGTTTAGGCGGTCTGGCTTGCTGGGGATATCGGTATAAGCAGGGAACTTTGAAGCTTTGAAGAATCAATCCTGAAGCACTTGCATGAGAGGAAAGTGATCAGGAACAGCCAGCATGGATTCACCAAGGGAAGGTCATGCCTGACTAATCTAATCGCCTTCTATGATGAGATTACTGGTTCTGTGGATGAAGGGAAAGCAGTGGATGTATTGTTTCTTGACTTTAGCAAAGCTTTTGACACGGTCTCCCACAGTATTCTTGTCAGCAAGTTAAGGAAGTATGGGCTGGATGAATGCACTATAAGGTGGGTAGAAAGCTGGTTAGATTGTCGGGCTCAACGGGTAGTGATCAATGGCTCCATGTCTAGTTGGCAGCCGGTGTCAAGTGGAGTGCCCCAGGGGTCGGTCCTGGGGCCGGTTTTGTTCAATACCTTCATAAATGATCTGGAGGATGGTGTAGATTGCACTCTCAGCAAATTTGCGGATGATACTAAACTGGGAGGAGTGGTAGATACGCTGGAGGGGAGGGACAGGATACAGAAGGACCTAGATAAATTGGAGGATTGGGCCAAAAGAAATCTGATGAGGTTCAATAAGGATAAGTGCAGGGTCCTGCACTTAGGACGGAAGAATCCAATGCACTGCTACAGACTAGGGGCCGAATGGCTAAGCAGCAGTTCTGCGGAAAAGGACCTAGGGGTGACCGTGGATGAGAAGCTGGATATGAGTCAGCAGTGTGCCCTTGTTGCCAAGAAGGCCAATGGCATTTTGGGATGTATAAGTAGGGGCATAGCGAGCAGATCGAGGGACGTGATCGTTCCCCTCTATTCGACATTGGTGAGGCCTCATCTGGAGTACTGTGTCCAGTTTTGGGCCCCACACTACAAGAAGGATGTGGATAAATTTGGAGAGAGTCCAGCGAAGGGCAACAAAAATGATTAGGGGTCTAGAACACATGACTTATGAGGAGAGGCTGAGGGAACTGGGATTGTTTAGTCTGCAGAAGAGAAGAATGAGGGGGGATTTGATAGCTGCTTTCAACTACCTGAAAGGGGGTTCCAAAGAGGATGGCTCTAGACTGTTCTCAATGGTAGCAGATGGCAGAACGAGGAGTAATGGTCTCAAGTTGCAGTGGGG